GACTACACAGTTCAAGCCCTAGACCTGGTAGTATGAGGAAAGTGATGGGCACATGTGCGTGCCCCACGAAGTCCCCGAAAGGGAGTGGAGGTGTTGAGGCGTAGCCTTCCCCCAGAGGGGGGATTTCTTTCTCCCTCTGTCTCTTGCTGAGCTTGCCCTATGGCAAAAATCTAAAAAACCCCAGGCATGCCGATGTGTGTCCAGCGTCCTGAAAGGGAAGGAGGAGACGGCTGCAGTGTGACCGTTCCCGGGAGGGGAGGAGCCTCTCCCTCTCTCTCAGTGGTGAGCCCGTGCACTCTTGACAAGTTTAAAACATGTATCTTTCTTGGGACTGGCAGGTGGCGTGGTGGTTAAGGGTGTTGGACTCTCTCTCAGTGGTGAGCCCGTGCACTCTTGACAAGTTTAAAACATGTATCTTTCTTGGGACTGGCAGGTGGCGTGGTGGTTAAGGGTGTTGGACTCTCTCTCAGTGGTGAGCCCGTGCACTCTTGACAGACCACGGTTCGGGACCCGGACCTGGCGGCTTGCTTTCTCACTTCCCCTCTCTCATTTATCCCCCTCTGGTCAAATAAAAAAGTCAATAAAGTTAAATAAGGTAATTGTTAAAAATGTTTTAAAATATATTTTTCTGTATTCTGATAGATGATCCTGGCTCTCTAGATTTCTTCTTTCAGATCTTCACATTTTTCTAGTCCTGTGACTGTCATGGTCTGGTGTGCTCCTGGCAGGCACACAGCCTGGTCCCAGTCTCCTGAGGCCTCCAGTTGGCCAGGGTCTTGGGTATGTGCACACTTGGCTTTCTTAGGGTGACTGGGCCAAGGGTCCTGAGCCCGTACTCGGCCGTGGGCTTCCAGCAGCAGTTCGGTTTCCCACCTGCACGTCCAGGGCTGGGCCTTGACGTGGCTTTGAGTTTATCCCAGCCGGAGCTCACCGAGTTTTGGAAATCTTTACATTTGTGTCTTTGAAATATTATTGAAATATTCAGTATTTAAGATATTTCTTTAAGAAATGTATGACACCATGTCCTCCTCGGTAGGAATTCCGAGACATGCATTCGGTCTCTTGATGTTGTCTCTGCGGTTTGGTTCCTTGTTTCCAAATAGTTTTCCAACCATTAACTGAATTTTTCATTTCAGCTATCTTATTTTTTTTAGAATTATTTTATTTAACTTTAATTTAACCAGAGAGGTACAGAGTAAAAGAGGGAGTGAGAGAGTAAGCCGCCAGGTCCAGGGCCCGAACCATGGTCAGCCATGTGGGAGTCCGGGGCCTTCACCACCACGCCAGCTGTCTAAGTTCTGTAACTTTTGGCTTATCCCGTGTCCTGATAACTTCCAACATTGGGGTCATCCTGGAGTTGACAGCTAGTGACCGTTTCCCTTCAGGGCTAAGGTTTTCTAGCTCTCCGGGTGTAGACCTCGGCTAGACCTCGGCTTCGCAGAGTATGTGTGCTTGCCCACGAAAGGCAGGGAGAGGGCAGCTGGGGCGGCGGTACACTCACACGCACCTGGTCTGTCTCTCAAGCTGGCAGGGCTGGGATTCAGACCACAGTTAGCCACGTGGGGCCGAGTGCTCAACTCTCAAGCTCCAGAGCTGGCCCAGTGCTGAATCACTTCAGATCGATTCCTGGACATCCTGCACGCTACGAGGTTCTGGATCCTGTTGGGGTCCTCTGGGCAGGAGAGCCGTGGCATGGACCCCACATGCCCAACTGTGCGGTTTGACCCTCGAACCCAGCAGCTGGGAAACATGCCAGGTACGTGGGCTTTGCATGCCCAAGGCCCCGAGAGGAGATTGGCGAAGGGACTGCGGCACTGCCCACTCCAGAACTTTCTCACTCCCCTGCTCCCTGCAGCGAGCACCTGCACCCGGTAGTAAATTTACAATAAAACCCTCTGGAGAATGTCGGTGGCCCTGTTTGAGAGGTTAAGGCCTGGTTGTGTTGGGACTGCCATCTGCAGCCCGGCTGGGGTCAAGGTTGGCGGGGGAGCTCCTTCGAGCTGTCCTCGGGCTCACTCTGTGGTGCAGCTGCACTGCTGTGGCGCCGGAGGCCGCTCTCCGGCCGCTCTGCCTGCACGAGTTCATAGCCGCCAGCGTCCCACGGCGCGGAGCCTGCCAGCACTCCTCCTCCACCGGAGTCCGCTGGGACACGAGACACATTCCTGAAAACCGGGTCCGGCCAGGTGGTGTACTCAGGATGGGGGTTCCACGTGGCTGGCCACATCGAGCGCCAGACACTGGGCCTAAGAAATGCCCGGCATGTGCACCCAGCGTCCCGAGAGAGGGACTGCAGAGTGGCCGTCACCACTGAGGGGTGATTTCTCACTCTGTCTCTCCAGTGGGTGTACATGCCCTGTAGCAAAAACAAAAAAAAACACAAAACCCTGCAAGTGTGGCCACAGGTTTTCTTAGTTGAACAGAGGCCACCTGACCCACTGTACAGTCTGTGCTGGCAGCACCCTGCGGTGACACGCAGTGGGTGGTCAAAGCATCTCAAGTTCACGTGAGTGGGGCATTTAAACCCTGTCCTGCGGTTCCCATGTCCTTACTCAGGCCTGAGCCTGCTGCGGAGACGCGGCCTTGAGATGCACCACGTCTGTGAGCAAGGCGTGGCCCGTGTGGGGTCTTCCTTGCCGCCGGACCCTTCCCGGAGTTGATGGGCTGGTCCCTCCGACTCCTCTCGGGACGAGGCAGGTTACCCTCCAAGGCGCTGTCCCTTCTCTGACTCGAGCAGTGGCCCTGCCCGAGGGGCACGAGGACGGGTGGCGCGCTCCCTCGTGAGCCTCCTCGAAGCCCGAGCGTCAGGTGCATCTGGCTCCAGAGGGGCCTTTGTGTCCGCCCCGTTCCACCCCTACGGCGCCTGGGCTCAGCACAGTGACACTCTGCCACCAGTGCCCACACCGCAGGCTCCCGGAGGCTGCGAGACCGAGTGCTACTGGTTCAAGCAACACCCACGGACGTCTTCATCTCATGGGAGACAGTCTCGAGCCATTTGCCGCAGCCTTCACCCTTGGGTGGAGGCAGAAACGGGAGTGACCACCTCACAGTGGTGCAGGCCCTGCCCTGACAGGTCGGAGAGCCCGCCCCACCACCCGCCCGCCTCCCTGCTCCGAACCCGCACGGCACAGGAGCAGCCAGGTCACGCCGACCAGACGGCAGTGATAGTCCGCACTCGGTTACATTAGTAAAAATACTTTATTGAATTTCAGGAACTTGGTACCTCTTAAAAACGTCAGGTCTGCACACAAATCACTGCTGTCCCAGAACAGTGGGGGCCAGGGCTTTGGAGATTGTCACCGACCTCACGTCACAGCACCGGAGTCCCTGCCGAGACCGCCCCGCCCCTCTGATTCCACTACTCTGGCGTTCTAGCACAGGGCAGGGCTGCCAGGAGAGGAATGTTCTAGACCACCTATCCAGAGCATCCTGCATTGAGAAGAGCCACCCCAGATCATGCCACGCACACCCTGAGCGCGCCGCCCACCTCGGCCACCACGGCTCCTGCCTCTGTCCTCGTCTGGCTCGGGGTGATGTCGTGGACGCAGTTTCTAGTCCCTGAGGACGCGCAGTTTGGCAGAGGTCAGGGCAGAGGCTTCCTGACAGGAAGATGCTGAAGACCCGCGGTGGAGGGCTGGTGCTCACGACGCACCTGTCGCTCTGACAGGACGTCCCTGTGGTGGCTGGGCGGCACCAGGCCTCAGCTTGGGGCGCAGCGACGTGGGTGGGTGACCCGTGGTTGGGAATTCGGAGCTAAATCCAAACCTTACAGCAGGGTCTCCCAGACAGGGAAGGAGGCCTGGGCTCGGCAGTTGCCCGTCCGCGGGCTGTCTCTGCCCTGTCCTCGACACAGAGTCCTCGGCTGCAGGCCTCACCCTGCAGCCTGGGCCGAGGCAAACATGGTCATTTGCCAAGAGCACGAGCTGCCTCCTGCCTCTAACCTGTGAGTCGGCCATTTTTACCCATGATCCCAACAGAAATGCCTCTAGGCCCAGAGAACCGGAGGCCGTTCATAACCCAGAGGGGGACCTGCCTTCATGGTGACGACGCGGCTCAGGAGGCCCAGGGCTGACCCTGTCGGTGCGCTTAGACAAGACCACGGGTCCAGGTGCGCCATGTGCCGTGGCCCGCCCTGACACAGGACAGCACAACCTGCCACCTTCTGAGTGAGACAGAGACAGCGATCCCCAGGTGCCCGTAAGGTGCTGGGAGGACGCCACTGGCCACACCAGCTCAGGTGCTCTGGCCATCCGGGCAGCTGCCATTTGCAGGGAGGTCTCCACGGCCCTCCCCGACAGGGGCTTGTCCACACAATGGCCGCCTCCTCATTGTTCGAATGGCTGAGTCACGGATCCGGCTTGGGTGCAGTCGTGACTTTAACTGCCTCGCCCGCAGTGGCGCGGACAGCGCTGCACCGCAGACATGCACCACAGACCTGCCGCGTTTGGTCTCTCTGTAAAGAGTAAGCGTCTTAAATTGCCTACACACGCCATTCTGAGCCATTTCATTCCACCGGGAAAATAAGGGTTCTTCCCTCTCTTTAAAAAAAATTAAATACCAAAATAACTACATTTAAATAAATACGGTTATGCTGATGACATCAGACATCCACAGTAAGGCTAAAGCCCCTTCCTGTGTGCGCTGCAGCTCGGCCCTGACCCTGGAGCACTCTGAAAGGCAGTGGCGTCTCCCCGAGGAGGGCCGAGGCTGCGGCGTCCACGGCCCGCTCACACGTCTCACTGCGGCAGGGCGGAGGTCGGCCTGAGTGTGGGACTCGTCTGGGAAGGCCAGGGGGTCCCCACTGCAGTCCAGGGAAAGGCCTAGACATTTCTGGCTGCAGAGGCGGTGCCTACTTCTGAGAGCCTGGAGCAGCAGGGTCTCCCGGCCCAGAGGCCAGGGCCACCCTAGAGAGGCCTGAGGTCTCCTGTGGAGAGAGCGTGTTAGGAGTGCGAACCTCCTTCCAAATGAAGCAGTCACGGCTCTGCCGCTTCACACACCCGCCGTGCTTGGAGACTTGCTTTACTTGGGGTGGAGAATTACGCCAGGGACAACGTCAACACAAAGAAACAGACAACAAAAAAGAGCAAGGAACAAGAGAGGCTGGTGCAGCTGGGAGGAGGCCACAGCCCCGCACCCTCGCCCCTCCTCACGGTCACATGCAGTCGCACACGTCTGTCCCTCCTGGACACGGAGGGGGCCAGCACAGAGAGCTGCAGGTGCCAGGCCGGACGCCAGCCAGTCATTCCGGAGGCCGAAAGCACAGATGAAGTGGCGTTCTTTCCCCGAACGAAACCCACGTGCCGGGCCGTGAGCGCCAAGATTCCACAGTAGAGGCCTCCCGAGTGATGAGGATGCCACAGACCCCACTGCTGTGTAAAGAACACCCCGCAAAGCCTGCCTGGCCGCCCGGTGCCGGGTCCCGTGAGGGCAGATCTGCCTGCAACAGGCGTGGACCGCGCCGTCCTCACCCAGGGTGAGCAGGACCCGGAGTTTGTACTCGGAGTTAAAAGCTGAGCCCGAGGGCCGCGCGTGGAAGCGCCCAGCAGGGCAGGCGCTGTCTCCTGAGCCAGGTCTCGTGTGTTCCGCTCAGGTGCGACTGCGTCCTTGGCAGGAGTTTTAAGGCCACCCGGCTCTGCGTTCAGTGCTGAGGGGAGTCCGACTGCAGGGCTCGCTCCCCACAGCGGACGCACTCGAGCGTCAGCGAGAGGCAGAGTCCCCTTCGGCACCACGACGTCGGTCCCTGACGGGAGCGGAGCCCCAGCTAGTTCTGGGTACCCCTCTCCCTCCCAGCGGCCGGCGGCGGGTCCACACTCAGGGCGAGGGCGACGCTCTCGCTGTCCTCCGTCTTGACCCGCTTCCGCTCCGGCTGCTCCGACGGGTCACCGTCCTGGCGCTTCGTGGGCAGGGAGGCGGATGCGGACGCATGTGTCGCCAACATGTGCAAAGGACTCGCTGCTGCGGGGAGAGACGAGCACATCAGACCCTCGCCCGGGTCGGGGCTCCCCGGCCGTCGCCCCTGCTGCTCGCCTGGCGATGGGTGTCGGCAGCGAGCACCCGCCCATGACTTCAGAACGTGCCTGCTCTGATGTCACCGCTGGGGGAGGCCGAGGCTCGGGGTCTGGGGAGGAGCCCTCCCTCCTGGGCACGTCCTCCCCGGGGCGCACTGCGTTGCGTGGGGAGAAGGCCCGAGCCTGAGGCGCCGTTGGCACACGTGCTCCTGCTGGTCCGGGAGAGTGCGGGGGCTGACGGGCCGACCACGAGTACAGTGTGGTGGGTGACATCGTCAGCCCGTCAGCCCGGCATAGCTTGATGCCCGGACGGCTGGCCCAATGTTATTCTGTTTTTTTGTTTGTTTGTTTGTTTGTTTTAAAAAGAGGATTTTGCTATAGGGCACATGTACTCGCCACAGAGAGAGACAGAGACAGAAAGCGAGAAATCACCCCCCCTGGGGGGATGGTCACGCTGCAATCCCTTGTCCTCCGTTCTCCTCTCGGGATCTTGGGCACGCACGCACAGCATGAGTTTAAGCCACCGGGTCCGGGACTCAAACTGTGGTCGACTACAGGGGAGAACAGCGATGTAACCATTTCGTCGCCCTGGCTGTTTCTGTGGAGCTGACTGTAGACGCGACCAACACTGCGACCCACAGCCCTTACGTGACGCAGACTGCCTGCCCTACCCGTGCAAGCCCTTGTCCTCCGTTCTCCTCTCGGGATCTTGGGCACGCACGCACAGCATGAGTTTAAGCCACCGGGTCCGGGACTCAAACTGTGGTCGACTACAGGGGAGAACAGCGATGTAACCATTTCGTCGCCCTGGCTGTTTCTGTGGAGCTGACTGTAGACGCGACCAACACTGCGACCCACAGCCCTTACGTGACGCAGACTGCCTGCCCTACCCGGTGGGCCCTCGTCCCCAGGCAAAGGCTCTGACTCCCAGTGACCTTCAGACCCGCTGCAGCTGGGCTTGCGCTCAGCCTGCAGGTCCTAGACGTGCTGGCGGGTGGTCTAGCGAGGGGTCCCCGAGACCCCGCCCACTGCACGCCCTTCAGCCCCTCCACACAGACTTGCGGGTTCCTTCTGGGGAGCCCTCAGGCACATGGGACACCGTCACCTCCTGACGCAGCAAGGCCGTCCCGCAGGCGGGGAGGTTCCAGAATGCGCGGTCCACCCTGGGCAGAGAACACAGACCCTCGCCCTCCAAGGCGGAGTCTGACGGCCTGGTGGCAGCACACCCACAACCGCGGGCCGCGTCCTTCCCACGGCAGTCTCCGACGGGCTTTCAGCCCCGGTGCAGCTTCTGGAGCCATGGGCACCCCGTGGGGACGCCGCCCTCGTGTCCACCACCCTGCGGACACCCTGTGGACACAGGCCTGGCACTGCTCTCAGCCCTCCCACAGGGCACACCCACAGTGGCTGCTTGCAGGCTAGGATGTGAGCACTGAGTGGACCGGACGGCAAGTCCTGAAAGTCTCCGAGCCCTGGCCCACGGCCTCACTCTGCAGCCTTGCGAAACTGTGCCCACTGAGCTGGGGTCCCCAGGTGACGCACCTTGCTTCCCTGGCCTTCCAGGAGGAGGCCACAGCCCTGTGGTCTTCCAGCCCTCGAATCTGCACACCTGCCCCCCCAGACTGCCCACATGTGTAAGTCTTTCACAGAATGGCTTAGCTCGGCCTGGGGCTGGGGGCCAGTGGGGCCTGCGGCCAGTCGTGAAAACTGCCACGGCCGAGCCGGCGTGCTCTGAGCGGTCGACAGCCACGCGCACCAAGCCTG